CTCTCTCTCTCTCTCTCTCTCTCTCTCTCTCTCTCTCTCTCTCTCTCGGGGAGTGGAGGAGTGTTACATACTATACAGGTATGCCTGTGTTCACGGAGGCCAGAGGACAACCTCATGATTTAGTTTCAGGGACATCATACACCTCCTGTGAAACAAGATCTCTCAATTGGTCTAGAGCTGACCAATAAGTTTAGGCTGGTTGGCCAGTGAACCCAGCGATCCCCCTGTCTCTGCTTTCCCTCAGCTTGGATTAGAAGCATACTCTACCAGGCCTGGTATTTTCACATGGGTTCTGGAGACTGAACTCAAGATTTTGACGCTGGGGAGGCAGACACTTTACTGACTCGAGCTACCCTCCAAGTCCTCACTGTGGTTTAATGAGGCATTTCCCCTTTCCCTGGCAGGTGCTGCCCATCCTCTGCACCCCTGCTAGACCCAATCACCCTTTCCTTTGGGAGCGTGGGGAGGATTTCTCTCAGATGGCTTGAGACAGCTGCAGCGAGTCATTGGTGACACTACCCAAAGACCGCAGCTCTAACCACATGGTGCGGTCTGAGGGCAGCCCAGAGTCGGCAGAGCCATGGCTTCCGTCTGTCTTTCCCAAGAGCACGGAGGTCAGACTACAGGCAATCCACATGCTTCTCGGTGTGTTCCAGAGCCGTGGGAAGGACATCAGGCCCTCCTTCTGAGGGAAAGGGGAAGGGCACGGTGGTGGCAGGGACAGAGATGGGATCTTCAGAGATCTGTCTCAATGGAGAAGCGAAGAGAGTACAGAATGGATGCTCACTCTCTCTGGCTTTATTCTCTCCAGCTGGTCAGCCCTCTGGCCATGAAGCCATGGGCTCCTTACAAAATCCAATGTCATCACCTCCCAATGTCCAAGAACTATTAGTGAAACATACCCCCTTTCTTTTAGAATACTTGGCCCTACATATTTCATTATATCTGTACAATTTCCTGCCCTCCTAGCTGATAGAATCCGGGGATGTGTATGCTTACTAATATTATGAACACATATCCCTAAGCATTTCCCATGTTAAACTAAAGAGGAATTTCTTCTGACACCTTCAATTCTAAGTGGTTACCATATGATTATGCTCTAACCCTAATATACCATCTTAAGTAGCAACCCTAGAGCTGCTATTTTGCATCAGCTACCAACCTGTTCATAAAGGTGACCTGACTTAACTCTCTACACTGCCATGGGAAGATACTACTGTCCACACATAACAGACGAACAAGCAAAGACACGAGGCACTGTTAGATGAAGTATTTACCTAAATTCCCGTAGGAGGTAGACCAGAAAAGAAGCCTATGTCATTGAGACTCAGTGTCCACTTAGTGACAGAATGTTCCTGAACCTGGGTTCATGTGAGATGGAGAAGCCGCCATACCTCCCGGCTCCCACCAAGCTGTCCTGGAGAATATTCCTCCCCATTGGACAAGTTCACTGGAGAACTTGCTGCTGAGCTGCGGCCTGACTTGACAGCTCCTGTAAAGGGGGTGCTGGAGCCCTGGCAAGGATCTGTTCCCTGACCCTGTGACTTCTTGGCCTCTGGCTCACCCCTGCTGTGTGAGATCCTGCATTTTGAAGAGTTGGGAGTGATTAACTCTGAGCAAGCTGCTCTGCTTTCATAAAGTTAAAAAAGAACAGCGTTTCCCCCTCGTTAATTAAATCGTGCACAGGGAAGATAAATGTGCAGCCCACACTTGTATCTTCTAAAATATCAAAGGCCCCATTAGTGGGTCTTGTGTGCTGCCTCAGGCCGTTTCTCCCCATTCCTGGTGGTAACAGGGACGTGGAGACGAAGGCCTTCAGAGAATTTACCAATATGAAATGTTTTGGCCATTCATTTATTCATCTGTTACATTGTGGTGAATCAGAAAGATGCAACCTGGATCAGTGCAAGATATTCCAGGGCTTTCTACCTCAGTTACTCATTGACCTGGAAACATCAGAAATGACAGATGGTGTGTGTGTGTGTGTGTGTGTGTGTGTGTGTGAATGAATGCTTTAGGTCACATTTAAACTACTTCTTGACAAACCAGGGTCCCTTTGGTACCTGCGTTCTGTTGGTGAATGTTCCCTGACAGTTGGTGACTTTATTTGCCAGACTCAGAACAAAGGGGTCCTTCAGCTTCTCTGGGCGTGCTTCCTGAGACCTGTGCCTCTCCTAGACCTCACAAAGGTGTTATTGTTGCCTGCTTGCCGTGTTCCCAGCACCTGAGAGAGATCAAAGGTACTCAAGACCACAGGCTCAACCTCCTGACATAGCATTAAAGCTGATGATTAATCCCTTTAGCCTAAAGGTCTCTTCCCACCAGCAAGTACAAAGCAGGGTGGTGGAGGGGACTGTATTTCCCGCCCAACGCAAGACAATAAACTGACATTTTATGGCTGCCATTCACTCTATCCAATAGCAGCTGCCCATCACATTTGTTAAAACCCCAACAGTTGTCCCATGTGAGCTACTTATGTTACTGGGACACTTTTATAGGAACATCATCATTTTTAAACCTCTACGATGTGCATGTCATATTCACATTGGATAAAATGCACATCATCCAAACACCGTATGGAACGGTCTTGCCTTTTGTATGATGGAGGAAGAACCTGAGGCTTAGAGAGGTTGAGTGGTTCACTCAGGTCACAGGGTCAAAAGAGATACAAGTAGATTTTACAACCTGCATCTGGTAACCAGCGAGCCTACAAGCTCCCCATTCTGCACCGGGCATGTGATAAGCACTCATGACAGCAAGCAGTATTGAAAAAGAGGAGCTTTGTAAACATACAGAGCTAGCTGTAAGTTCTTTGTTCCAGAAACTACCATTTTTGTGACATTGGGGAAAGCATTAGAGTTTTCCGTCTTATTTTCCTAATTTGGAAAAGTTTGCTACTGTAGGAAAAGTCAGTAACACCCTGAGAAAAGAGTGTGGTAGTGAGGTCAGCTATGACGTCAGCTCACATCCACAGGGGCTGAGTGCTTCAACGAAGGGGTAAACTCGACGTGTCTGAGACTCAGACTTGAGAATCTAGACAAGTTGTGTCCCACTGAAGACAGCAGTGATTGAAATGAGTTAAAATCATTTCAGTGAGGACAAACTCACAGCTTACACCCACGTCAAGGGAAAGAAGAGCTGGTTTGCTGTTCCGCACTTCTGGTAGTAGAGCAGATCTAGCCTTTGTAGGTCTGTCCTTCCAGCATAGTGCTGGGACTTCGAAAGCCAGTTCTGGAGTGCAGTGTCATGAGCTCCAGCTGAAGCCGCTTCTGAGGACCCTGAGTCACAATATTTTATTATAATTTCATCTCATCTATGGGGAGTTGATGCTGCCCTTTTGTTCCCAGAGTTTAGCAGCCAGGACAAAAGAGAAAGATCCAGTCAATATTACACAGAGCACTGAGTTGTGAAGAAAAGCTCAGTTTTTAATAGCACTGCTCGCTCTTCGCAGAGATTTTGCCCTGTAGCTGACTCCATTCTCTGTTCTCCTTCTCCTCCTCCTCCTCCTCCTCCTCCTCCTCCTCTTCCACTTTCCCCTTGGTTTTACTCATCTGGGAAAAATCCAAGGGGTCGTCCATCTCACTTTAACAGAGTAATGACTTTTAAATAAAAATATGGTAGAAATGGGTACTTATCGAAATGGAATGCTTTCAGACTCATGCATTTAAAAAAGATATAAATTTTAGGGCAGGCACTAAATTGTACTGCAATCTTGGAGAAAGCCTTCCCACTAATTCATGGAGAAAAATTAACAAAGTGAAAATTGCTTATCAGTGTTCTTTTGAAGTCACGATATGCAGCCCAATTCTATAGATCATCAGGACGCTCCCAGGGAGATGGATTTATATCAATGGAGGGAGAGCTCTGTGGCCAAGGAAAACAAACGGGCATTTCAATGGAGATGTAGGTACCCGCTGAGGAGAGATGTCTGGATGGCTTTGTCATCTTTGGGACCCAGGTGCACTCATTGAGCACTCTTTCATGTTTTTCCAACAAGTTGGCCTCTGGAAAAAGACCCAGCAAAACCTAAGTCAGGGTGGGGATGGGAAAGGGAGAGACAGAAAGATTGGAAGAGGTGAAGGAGCCAATAGTTCAATATTTCGCCCTCGACTGCCGCCACTGTATGTGACGGCCTTGCCTTTGTGGCACACTTACCCCCATGTGACAAGATGATGTTCCGCAGATGACAGCCAGCCGTGACGTCACTGCCTGTCCTTCACAGATGAGGCCATGACCTCTCACATCTGCCCCAATCACTCCTGTGAGAAAGTAAACCAAACAAAATCTTCTTAAGAGAGAGAGAGAGAGAGACAGACAAGAAACCTAAAAATAAGCAAAAAGCACTTTTTTTTCAAAAGGCCACATAACAAGGAGAAGAATTCCATGTGTAATCTCAAAGATTATAGAATAAGAAAACCAACCAAACGAACAAAAAAATTTTGCTATTCATGGGCAAACTAGAAAGCATATTCTGTTCTCGCTTGACTCTGTCCATGTATGGCATCTAACCTTGTCAGAATAATACCAACTATAATTATTTACATAAAAGCAGCAGCCATGAAACATCTGTGCCCATTAAATACCATTCTCAATGCTGTGCATGACATGGATCACTTGATATTAACACTGTCTCGCAGATATAATTAATGCCATAGACAGATGCCAAAGGAGAAGCAGATCTTCAGAGGCCAAGGGACATGTCCAAGGTCAAAGTGCCAGCAAGAAGCAAGTCCCTCAGGCTGGAATCCCGTTTAACTCATTGTATCCCAGTGCCAAGGAAGGCAAAAGCAAAGGAACAGTGTGATGTCTGAATCTTTTTGACATTCATGCCTCCGTTTTTGTTTCTACTCCCTAGCAAAGCTCCAGGTGTAAAAGAAGAGTTCCTGTTCTAAGAATGCCGTGCAGCAGGGAGCTTCCCAGCAACAAGAGAGGGTGTGGGGGAGTGGTGTCCACACAGCTCCCTGGGTTCCGTGATACTGGGAGAGCAAGAGAGGTTGCTAACACAAAGAGAGGTAGTAAGAGTTCCCCCACCTTCATTTACTCAAATATCCATCTAGAACCTTTGCTGCTTCTTTTTTCCTTTTTGGTGCAGCATGCTGTGGGAGCCAGTGATATGCAAATCTGCATGACGACAGTATGAAGAGATGACAGGCGAGCAGGGAAAAGCAGACCCTGGGATGCGAAGAGAACAACTTGAGCTCAAGCATCACCTGCACTACCCTGCTCTCAGTCTGCCCTGCAGGACGCTCACTCATTCATACCTCCTTTGTGCGAGCTCCTTCCGCTGCCCGGAGCACTAATCTGCTATTCTTCAGCCCCTCTCCCAGAACAACTCTTGGTTAGTCTTCAGTGATTTTCCTGATCTTCTAGGAACTTTGTCGTCCCCCCCTGTCCAATGATCTCATGGACCTTGACTACCCCAGCACAAGTACTGGAAAATTTGAAATATCGAATTTCTCAATAAAGGCGGCAAGAAGTTAGTACTGTTTTATTCACATACCTACGGTAGTTGCTAGCCAGGACACAGAGAGTAAGGGTGCTTATAAAAGCACGATTAAGTAGACAAGACCTTACACTCCCATGCACACACGGGGGTGAGGTAGAGAGAACCTTAAGTGAAGAATTTCAACCCAGAAGGATAAATCCACATGCAGAGATCACAAGTCTCAAGTTCAGATTCTCCAAGACTTGCTAAGCGAAAGGCAGAATAGGGGTGTCACAACAGGCAACAAGTCTGCAGATATTAATGGAATCATTTGCTTGGCAAAGTGGAAAAGGAGGACCTGACTTGGGGGGGCAGTAACTTGCTCCAACATCTTTCCCAAGTCTACCTTCAGGCCCAGATGCTTAGATGTCCAACAGCATGGGAAGTCTACTTCTTCCAAAGCCTCTGTCAATCCCACCAAGGAGGTAACTGAGGTCTTGAACCTATTTGCTTTCAGGTCAACCTTACTGTTCTGTTCTTTAAGATAGAGATTGTCCCTATAGAATACAATGCATAGTCTCAGTCAAGATCAGCCCTTCCAGGAGATGTAAGAGTTAGAGGAAAGCCAGGGCTCACATGTGCAGGGCTCACAGGGAAGATGCAGTTTTGTGGCTGTCAGCTCTGTGGAAAAAGTCACAATGACTCTCCCGCACCTTCTAGTGTCCTTCACCTCCAGACTACAGTAACTCAGCCCTCGTCCCCTGACTGGAAAACTGGCCTGCAGCTTCTTAGGTGCAGTATCTGACTGACATTTCTGTGTATGAAATTCCTACTCAAACACACAGTGCTGACATTTTCCTGGGTGATCAGAGTCCCCTGTTTAGGACATTGGAACTTTGGGATAGGAAGAACCTCAAAATACGAGCAAATTTTAACTTCCTCTCTTGTATGACCTTGCTATCAGTGTGTTTTATTTTCTCTGTAAACCAACTTACTAATGTGATTGGGACTCTTACTATCCTCATTTTACAAATGAGGAGACTGAAGCTTAGGAAGGAAAAGAAACATCATCAGGGCACAGGGCTCTAAGAAGCAGGGCTGTGGTTTATACTAAGAAAATATGACTCCCAAGTGTTGGTTCTTCACCACCAAGACTCCGGTTTTTCTCCAAGGCCAGGGAGCCAACGTTTACTGTTTAACCATCTCAAAATACTGGGATCTCAAAAGTATTGGTGTGAGATCCCTGACAGAAAGGGGGCAGACAAATGTTGGGCTTTAGTGTACCAGAGAGCTCAGGGATTCCTGCCAATGGACCTCACTAACTGGTTCCATTTGTGTGAAGTGCAGGCAATTCCAACATTACAAGGTCATTCCATTCTAAGTAGTCTCAAAGATGAGGAAAGAAGAAATTGATTGAGTTTGACCTTGTGTCCCCTAGTTAGTGGTTTCTATGGATTTATCTAAGCTTGGAATGTAACAACTAGGGAGTTAAAATGAGAAAATAGTAGAATCTGGAAATAAACATCTGCTATAAAGTGAGAAAGATAATAAAATCAGTGCGCTGATGTTGAGACAGTGTTCACAACATAGATGTCTAACCAGCAGTTGACTTGTCGCCGTCACCAGGACCATCGTCATGTCCATCACTATTGCATCACCCTCACGTAAACTACCTCTAAAGAATCAACCATATCTTCCATTATTTCACACAAATATCAGATACCTAAGATAATCTGGGTACCATGGTAAGCTCTTTTCATACTCTGTATTTAATGTTCGCTAATTATTCATAATTGCAAAAAAAACTTTAAGTGGTAAATATGCTATCTTTCCATGGAAACAAAGAATCAGAGTGTTTAAACTTTGGGGGTCATACAGATACAAAAACCAGTGCCAACATTTGACAGTGTTCTCTGGGGCTCTGAAGCCCATGATTTCTCATTGTTTTCTCATTTTCTGATCTCAATTTCATTGTCACATATAAGGTAAATGGTCTTGGAAATGTTGTGTACTATGGAGCATATCAAGTGCCCTAGTCAACAACTTGAAAAATCCGAGTTTTAGCAACGCTCAATTCTGCCACAAATCTGAATTTGTCCCCCTATTTCTGAAATGAGAGAATGGAACCAAAGCATGGTTCTTCCTCAGCTGTTCTCAGTACATATAATATTCAGGTCTTCTTCTAATATGCCTGCTGGAAATCTAACAGTGAACTGTTCTTCCACGATGCTCACTCTCTAGTCCGAAGACAGACACCACACTTGGCTGAACCAGCAAGAAGCTGCTCTAACAAGTTTTCTAGGGGGAAGAGTTCTTTGTACTACTGGGCGCCATCTTGAACTCAAGAGTACCACTCCGTGAGACCACATAAATCTAAATGGTGCCATTTTCCTTTTCCTGAGGCCTCGTAGAGCTTGGAAGGGCTGCTCCCAAGGCAAGAGGTCCAACTACAATCAGGGAATAGTCAGAGATGGTGAGTGGGGAAGTCTTTTTTCTTTCTGAATCAACACATCTCACAATCTGTAGTGAAACCTACAGGTTACACTCCTACACCGGAAAATGATTCATGGGATGAGACTCTGACAGGCACAGCCTTCCACAATGCTGGGGTCTTCCATACAATGTATGAGTGTCAGCTTATTCCGAAATCCTCAGAAAGCTTGCTGACCAGGAGAATATGCAACTCAAGAAATAAGCACCGAGCAAAACATAGTCACCGTTTCAACCATGTGTGTCTTCTGAACCTTGCACAATGCCTAACAATTGGTGACTGCTCAGTTGATTTTTTGTTGTTGTTGATAAATATATTTTGTGTTGTTCTGAAAAACAAATATGAAGAAAAGAAGCTTACTGAGTCAAGGAACCAGCTCAGTGCCTCCCACTTACTGACTCTCTCTTTCTCCTCAAAATTTGGCATAGTTCATATAAAGGAACATGGGTCAAAACAAAACTTAAAAGGAAAAGTGGAAACAAGGGGCAATTCTGTGCTGTACCTCCACACGCTGCTCCCGCACCCCATCCGTCTTCCATGCAGACATTCGCTGAGCCCCTACCGTACTCACAAATAGAAAAACTAAAGACTTTGCAAATGTTATGATTTAAGAGTCCATTATCCTGTAATTTATCCTACCACAACTGCTTTGAAATTTTTATAGGGTCATATGGAAGAAAAACATCCCAAGTTCTCGCATTTGTGTTATAATTATGTTCCACTTTATGGCTATATAACAGCGCTTCAGCGTTTGCAAGCACCCGCCAACACTGCACCCTTTATTCCAGTTCTCTTTGAAAGAACTGAATTTCAGAGATGTGAAGTAATTCATCACATGCTGGTCAGAGGCAGAGGTAGGGCTCACACAAGGATTTTACTGAGTCTCTGTGTCTCAAGTGCTGGTATCTGGAAAGAGGGTTCTTTTGACGAAATAATCTGAGACCCTTCACAGAAAAAGCCAAAAGGTGAATTTTGAACATGTCTTGGGACTTCATCAACTCTTCATTCAGTCATTAAAGGGAATGAGCTGACTAATAAGGTCAATCAAATGAGTTGTTTGATTAAGCTAGCTGACAGGTTGGCATTCGTGGGAAGACCATGCCACATGTACCACCAGCCTCCTGTGTGGAACATCTAGGGGCAACTGCAAGGTCCTGGATGGACAAGAACTTAGCACAGATGCTTCCTCTGCTCAAGGCCTAACTCTAGTCTACATCTAGACACACAATTCTGTAATTTTGATTAATATTTATACTATGTAGAACCAGATATAATGAGTTGACATAATGGAGAAGTAGTTAAAGATTCATTCATCCTGTGACTTTGGTTACAGTTCAAATTCT